CACGTGGAACATGCATGAGATCAGTTCCGAGTGCTGAAAGAAATGTGTGATATACGATTATAGCATGACGTTGAATATAAGAAATTATCGTGTGGAGAAGAAACATCTAAAAGTTGCTGTTTGTGCTCACTAGGCCATCAGCGGATTATATGTATTGTTTTTTACAGTATAATTATTGGTTATATTATTGTTCGGTAAAATATTATTTGACTTTTTTATTTGATTAGACAACGTCGCTTCATCGATAGGCTAATCAAGACTATTCTTAGTTACTATAACTTCTAATCGAACAACATCTAATCAAAATTGCTGGTATATTCAACAAAAAAAACTGTTTTATAAACATTTATGCTGAAGTCATAAGGTGCTACAGATCACAATAAAGTTGAGAGAATGTACTAAAATGTAATGAATATATTGTGGTAAGCTAAAAATCCTTAAAAATTTCGCCAATTTACCAATGTTTTTTCTGAATAATATTGTAGCAAATTACCCAATATAGGCTTAAAACTGTAGAAAATCCAACTGAGTGGGCCAGCCTAGCCACAACTGTAAATGAATTGTTTGTTGGATTTCTCAAAAGGGTACTCGAGGGCTATTTGCGCTAGTCATCACTGTTTAACAGTGATAGACTAGGGGGAATGCTAGTCAACCTCACACACCGTCAACTCTTTGGCTACTCTTAATAAACCGAATAGTGTGATTTTATAATCACTCGTATAATGAATTCCTGGTCTCAAAGTACAAAGCGCGATATTTTTATTAATTTCTTTTTTAGCAGTAGCGGGACGCGAACCATAGAATCCCAACTACTCATTTTGGCATGTTAACCACAGGGCCGCACTCGGCCCCGTCAATTTTTTTGTTTTATGGCTTTGATCGAAATAATCTCACAGACATATTTGAGTTACTTATAATTTATACTGTGCAGATGAGCACATGTTATTGTAAATGTTCGGTGTTATATTTTTCTCTAAAACAATACATCAAATTTTGTTTCTAAAAAATTATTTTGGTCGGCTGTCAGTTAACAAATATCCAAAGAAATCCTGATACACAATGTAAATATAACGTATAAGAACTCTCTTTTTCCATCTAACACTTACATATCAGTCCAATTTGGTTCCATTTGTTAAAAGTATTTCTACGCTAATAGTCTTTCTCACACGCTGAACTATAAATTTCTCTACAAACAAGTTTATTAGTGGTGTTTCATTTGTAAAAGCAAAGTAAATGAACCATTAAAGCTTTATTTGAATTAAAGAGCCCAACATTCGCGCCAAATATGCAACATGTTTCCGCCACGCAATTCCAACATGGCCAAATTTGACACCAGAAAAATCGAAAACTGTCTATATCACTGCTTGGGACCTGCAAGAATTACAAACAGTGGCGTCGTGACCACTTTCTGATTTTGAGGGTGGGTAAATTATTGTGAAAATGTATAGTTGCAATTCACAATCTCTTACATAAAAGGATTGCTGCATACAAAAAAACAATGACAATCGTAAACACAAACGTACAAACAAGTACGTCTATAAATAATGATGCATGCAAACCAATATATATAGCCAGGTTTAGCGACTCTCATTCTTTGCTGAATTATGTTTTGCAACCTGTTTTTTCAACTTTACTCCATTAATTATGCGAGAATCCATCTGGAAATCTATGTTTCAACACAAATCATGAAACCATGTACATATAACTATCTGGATGATGTGCAGTGACCTAGATGTCTGTAAATCTGTTATTAGTTTGCACCCATCTATTTAAGATATAATTGTGATCGATAACGACAGTGATGTCCCGTTAGCAAGCCTTAATAAACAAGTGTCTAGTTTGTCGTCCATCACATTCGATCGAAGTCTTGTTTTTAATAGTTTCATCACACAGAACGCTCCTTAACCTTCAGCTGAAGTGACTTGGAAATTCATATTACTTAATAGGTCTATATTTCAATTCATCTAAGACTTGTCGATAAATGAATAGAGAAAAAACACTTGATAGGTCTAGAAAAGCTAAGTAGCGTAGATTGTAACTCGATAAATAATGCCTAAGTTTCTTTTGTCGATTAGTTTTCTCAATAAACGAAATACTGCGCTATTAGGTAAAGTTTAAAGCTAGTTTCTTGATTACTGTTGAATTTTCAAAATACTAAACTGTAAATAATAAACAAGCCCTTCGATATATTTTGAACAATGGGTTAAATGAAAACCAATTCAATGATAAATAACAATCCAATGCGAAATATATTGTTACTGAATGGTTTTGCATTCGGTGAGGGAAATGTTGTATGATTCTGTAAAAATTTGAAGTTTAAAACATGGTAGAAAACATTGCAATGTGAAGTTTCTTGCTTCCGAGAGTTTGTTTTGCATTCGGTAAACCACGTAATCTACCTATCACACCATGCAGTAGAATTTAAAATTATTTTCTTGTTTCTCGTTATATTGTAAAACCTTCGAATGATCTTTTGACCATCGAATTCTTTCGAATAGACAATTTGATATGGATATTCTTCCTCCTACCGTGACGCCACTAATAACAAGTCATTAAGCATAAGCCCCCCCCCCAGTGGCCCAGCGGTATGTCTGCGAACTTACAACGCTAGAAACCGGGTTTCGATACAGATAACCCATTGTGTAGCTTTTTGCTTAATTCCAAACAAACATTGAGCATGAAAACTTTGTTCGAACGTGCACGTTTGATATTCATCCGTTTGAATCAGACCAAGCTTCGCTCTGAAGAATACGTTCATTTGCGAGATGCAGTTGTAAATGACGGAAATACAACTAACGTTGGAAGACTAACGATTTTGCCATCTTCATATACAGGCAGTCCACATCATATGCATGAGTACGCTCAAGATGCAATTGCGTATGTTCGTCACTACGGGCGTCCAGACCTATTCATTACATTCACATGCAATCCAGCTTGGGACCATATACAACAGCTCTTACTTCATGGGCAATCGCCGGTGGATAGGCATGACATCACAGCACGTGTTGTCAGACAGAAGCTGAAATCGCTGACGGATTTCATGGTAAAACATGAAGTGTTTGGGTCTGTGCGCTACTGGATGTAGTCAGTGGAATGGCAAAAGAGAGGATTGCCACACGCACATATACTAATCTGGCTCTATAACAAAATCACTTCAAACGAAATCGACGATGTAATATGCGCTGAAATACCCGATACCAACGCAGATAAGGATTTGCACGAAGTTGTGACGAAAAGTATGATACATGGACCTTGCGGTACACTGAATCCAAATTCACCATGCATGATAGACGGAAAATGCTCTAAGCGATATCTTCGAGCATTAGTATCCAACACAGTTACAGGAAACGATGGATATCCTTTATACAGAAGAAGATCAGCAGAAGATGGCGGTAAATTAGCAACCATACAAATGCGAAACGGTGACATCGAAGTAGATAACCGGTGGGTTGTTCCATATTCGCCTTTGCTATCAAAAACATACAAAGCGCACATAAACATGGAATACCACATCACGCTTTTGTTCACAGACCAATAACAGCAATGATAGTGGTGTCCGATCAGCTGTTCAAAAACGAGAGGCATACAGTGTAAGCTCAAGTTTTAGCCAATGCTTTAAGTACAATATAGAATTGTCAGTAACCATTCAGGTTTTATAAACACACAAGTAAATCTGCTAAAACAAATAAATTTTCTATGAAATTTCACTTTCAGGTATTATTTACCAAAAAAAAAAGGGCATGGACAGCCATCCACCCATCCGTGGTAGTAATTTAGGTTAAAATATATTTCATTCCTCTTTGGGGAATGAAATGTAACCAGGGGTGGTCAGAAACTTTATTTTTCTTCACCCCACTTCATAAAATATAATTAAGTAACGCTTGACTTTAAAGGGTTTAAGGCTTACGTAAATGAAACTTGACATTAATTTTGCTGATGACGATGCCACAAGAAATAAAAGAGCGTGGACAAACAATTGGCTGTTCTTTTTATTTATTTTTCATGTTTATAACACTTTC